GCAACTACCTCTATCAGGCTAACACTTATCGTTACACAGCTCTGTAAGTAATCTCCGTCATCATCTGAAAACCCAAAAGATTAAATCTAGACTACTATTCTTTCTGTGCAGACTGTACTCTCCGAAACAAACTTGACCGGAGCTATAAATTACGAGATCCCCGACCAAAATTACAAAGATCGGAAGCAATCTAAAAGTTTTCAGCCAATCAGTCGGAAACATTACCCCTTCCAGAAGCGCCGTTCCACCGTTCGAATGGTCGTTTTCGCTCTCCTCTGATCTCCTTCCTTTCGTTTTACGTATTATCTGTTTGCTTGCCGAAGACGTTGGCTGGCGAATCAAATCGACTGGCGCCATTGTCAGATCTAATCATGCTATCCATTCAAAAGTTACTTACAGGAAAGGGAACAATGCGCTAATATATATAGTCGGATGTTATAGCAGTTTACATACAGGGTTTTCATTTGAAGACTTCCCACCACGGATTTATCGAAAACCACTGATTAAAAGAAAAAACGCCGAGACACCTCAAAAGGTTTGTCAAGGGCGACAACTCTTTAACCAAATCCGCTTATCAATGAAACCACTGAAAACCAAATCGAAGAGATGGAAACCCTATACGTGATGAGGCTGAAATATATTTCCAGCAAGACGGCGCTCCTCGTCACTATGTTGTTCCGGTTCGGCAATGGCTAGACGACGAGTTTCCAGATAAATGGATAGGGCGACGAGCGCCTATAGTATGGCCTGCTAGATCTCTTGATTTGACGCCATTAGACTGTTTTCTATGGGGGCCATTTGAAATCTATTGTGTTTTTACTCCCCGACCTGAAAGTTTGGATGAACTTTGTCAACGCATCATCGAAAGCTGATATGATATCCCACAACATGTTTTTGAAAATGTCGGTCAGGAATTTTAACGTCACCTATATCATTGTTTGGTCAATAACGGGCAATATTTGAACACTTAATGAAATAAAAAGTGATATTTTCGTGTGTTTGTGTTTTCTATCTGAACAGATTAAGATAAATAAAGATTTTTCTTATTTTCTCCAAAAGGTCAAAATAAAGGAGTTTGGAAGACCTTTCAAACAAGCCATTACTCGATACCCACTGTCGTTTAACATTTTTAAGAGGATGAACCTGGTGGGCAGAGGATGGAAGGGGGTGAAGTAGTTTGTGGTTAAAAATTTGTTGTGTGTGGTGGGAAGTTTTCAAATGACCTATATAGGAAAATGGCGTAGTACTCAGGGCACGGGTTTAGGACCGAAATAGTATCTATGTAGACGTTAACGACCTGTACAGCCCTCGATGCTGAAATAATGAATTTAGCGGATGAAACTGTCTAAAGCAACAAATTGGGAAGACCTAAAGGCTTCATGTCAAAAAGATTTTAGTAATATCGTAAATAAACTACGACAAAACATATTTTATGATATTTTTATCCAATCCCAAAGTTACACCGGCCTACGAACAGCTAATTATCAATGACGAAACAATATGCAAAATAATTATCTAATAAAAAATATCTTGGAGTTCATATAGAGGCACACCTACGTTGGGACATTCGCATTGAACATATAGTGAGATAACTGAGACTTCTCATTTATAAAATTAGAAACATTAAGCATTACCTAATACTACAGCAAATAAGATTAATGTATGGTATCATAAGTTTTGGATCTGCTAACAAAATTCATATACATCAGCTGGAGAAAATCCAAAAATTGATACTCAAAACAATACATAATCGACCAGTGGCTTACCCTAGAGATATAATCTATCCAGGAACTAGAATACTTGACTTTCGGCATGCAGATCGTCACAGAACACAAGAACAAGGTCGCAGTACATTACACCACGTATAGTTACGACACAAGAAACGAAGACAACGTACGAGATTACCAGAAAAAAAAAACAAAGAACATACGCATTCTTGGCTCCAATATCTTATAATTCACATCCACCAGAAATAAGGAGTAGGAATAATATAAATAAACTCAAAAGTGTCGTTAAGAAATGGACATTGTCCAAAACTCAATCATTAAAACCTATATTTTCCGTATTCAGCATGCTTTTTTGTCCATTCATTTTTAATTAATTTCACTTAATGTACAGTATATTATTCGAGTATTTTATGTTACACGCCCATGCAACTGTAAAAATGGATTCTGAATAAATTATTATTATTGTTATTATTATTATTAGATATGTTTTGAATTAAAAATGGCGTCAAGCTGGTTGATTACAAATTTTCCATGCAGTGACATCACTGCACTGGTCACAACAGTCGCATGTAGATAGGTGCGACTTGGTCCCCCGATGGACGAGCGTCGTACGTCACAGTCGTCTATCGCTTCCGCACTGCTGCGGGCTGTGTGCACTGTGTATGGTGAAGGCCAATTTCGTCATTCACGCGGAATTGGTCATCACAACTATCATGTGCGCCTGCAAGAAATTCTCTCAGGGGAGCGTTATTTAATTTTTGTTCTATAGGTTCGTAGCTAACTTTTTTCTCAGAAGGCCTTTTTTATTGAATCTAAAAGTACGCATGGAATATCAAACCAGGTAAATGATCTCCTCGGCTTTGTTGGCACATGTGCATTCTTTTATAAAATTTTCCATAACCATTTGGATACATATAGCTGACTTTTGTTAATACAATGTTTAACTTCCACCTTCAATGCAAAAGTCTGTGATCTTGCTGGCATTCGACTTCAAATAACTCCATAAAAAGAAATCATACCATGTTAAATCACATGATCTAGGGGGCAATGATCACTGAAACGAGGGAATCGACCAGGAAATGTCTGATGCAGTAATTGAATTGTTTTACCGTATGACATGGTGGCACCGTTTTGTTAGTACCACCTGTTATCCATAACAGTACGAGTATCATCCAATTTAGGCAGAAAGAACATGTTTGGATATCAAGCACCAATGTCAGTTACAGTGGGTGCTTTCTTTTTTCAACAATCACACTTGGTCCCAAATGCAGCAGTAGAAAGAATAAGAATGTAAAAATGAAATAATTATACGTATTTTGGTGTCATATACCATGTTTCCTATTACAAATACAATACGACCCCAATGGAACCTTTCCAAACTGGACCTAAATTGGACTTAGTCAAATCAATATTACGACCACAATCTGTAAGACAATTTTCGCCACCATCATATTTTTAAAATAATATTCAACAATGAAAATGTATTGATCTTTTTTGACGGCCCTAATTTTTTTTCTTTTTTACAAACACTATACACTGTTCAAACTCAAATTTTGCGTGAATTTTGGAGCACTGTCTCATTTATTAGCTGTCACTTATCGATAGCGAGCCGATTTTCATAAACTGTAATTGATACTTGTCCTTGTAATGCACGCTGGGTAAATGGATGACGGCTCTGTGTCGCTTAGAGGCACGCACTGCCTCACTTTGTACATCACATGAAGTGGAATTATTATTTTCAATGCAAGAATTCATTCCGCAGTTACATCGTAAGCTTTCATGGATCCCTTGAAAATCTTTCAAATCTACCGTAATCTCAGACGTTGAATTCAACAAAACCAATGGGTCTAAAATTTAATTACTTGAAAGTAAATGACATCATTTTAGAAAAAGGATATAGTAGTACCACATATTGTACCTACGTTTTACCTTTTGATCTGACAAATGATAACAGCGAAATATTTGCGTCTTTCCCAGGCCTGAGCTAACTCCACAGGACATAGATTTCACCATATTCTACTTTCAGTCCGATGTTTTTTTTTTGTTTTCTCCATGTGCGCGAGGATCGATTCAGTTCACTATGGACTCCGCTCCCCGCGAATAAAATATACATAGAAGGCGTTTTCATCCACAGCCATTACCGTAGCTGTGAGACCGATGTATTATAAAGCCAAGCATTATTGGATATATAAACGATACACTAACCGTCCCAAAAAATAAATGTTTGCGACCAAAGTATTCTTCCTACTCAATAATCATTGAGATCGACATCATGTATGTGGTTATACTTGCAATATTTAGGCTTTCGATTTGATTGATACCACGCCGCGTATCAAGGTGGGAGGGTGCTGCCTCCAGAGTATTTCGGAATTTTGATCCTGAAGTTAATGTCAAAGTCACGGTGCCAATTTATAGATATATCGAAATTATCATTTCCTTGTAAAAATTATCATGACGGCACGACGATATCGAAATCGAAACCATGGCGGAACCCCAGGTTCCCCAGCTTCAGGTGCCCCATACTATTACAAAAAGGACCCTGGCATCATATAGCCGTTGTTTGCTCTCAAATGGTTATAACCGCGAAGCTTTTGGCCTTGATAACAATAACTGTAGACTTTGCGGCCATCAAGACAAATCTGTCTTCCAAGATATCCTATAGTACCTGTATATGCTTTGCGTGGCGAGTCTGAGTGGATGTAAGGTCGTTTGTTTATGCTCTTCAATGATTATCACTTGCAAGTTTCTTGTATCGCCAAGGGAAAATTAAGATCCCAAGGATTTAAACACGATAAGGTTCCAAAGTGAATAGCCTCGATATTACTGTACGGCCGTTGGTCATAAAAGAATACGTAGGTCATATAGGAGCCTGGAAACATTTTTGTCAATAGACCTCCGGCTACATCATGGCATTAGAAACCATACTACCTGTATTTTCCTGTCCTCGTGAGGACTTGGTTAGGAAATATCTTAAGTGCAATGATCTAGCAACAAGTGATGATAAATTATCACCTGATCTTTTAGCCATAGTGATACAGTCTTTCTTTCGTAAACAGCGCAATAGCACTTTATAACTCTTCCATCTAATAACGTTAGGGGTAACGTCTTTTTTCTCTCATGATTATGAAAATATTGAGTCTTATTTTAAAAATACATTTGCCGTTGACCTTCACGTAGACAATTATTTTTTAAATAGTAATTTCTGGAATTTAACTTCATTTAACCGATATTCCTCGGAGAGGATCAGAAGAAAGGAGGATTACACTGCAGATACGATTCTCATAAATTTTATTTGACTTTCGCCTATTATGGATACTCATAGGAACTTCAAATATGTACAATCTTGAACTATATAAAAACAATGAGGTAGTACTTACAAACAAAGAGATCAAAACCTACACACTGCTATATAATGAAATAAATTAAAATATTGCTGACATATGCAATATATACATAAATTTACATATATTCTACAAATCTATATTATAAATACTGATAGTTTCCCGTTGTATGGCAGAGCTTCATTAGACAAAATCTGCTACATAGTATTCTTCAAATAAAACTTGGCAGATTCAGTACGAGAAGCTAGATTCTATCAAGCATAGCATATCTTTCTGAATATTAAAAATCATTACAAACAGAAAGTAAAGAAGTTAAAAGTCGAGGTAATAAGGTCACACTTATATGGTGTGGTGTGAAAATAAATGAAAGAACAGTATTATATTTCATCACGTCGCCTCATACAATTCGAAAGAAGAAAACAGATTTACAAACAAGATGTATATACATATAGGAAAAGACGTTAATGTGTTGACCCTCAGTTTCTGATTCAGATGTCTCTAGAGTTATTTCCTTGGACGCAGTGACCAAAAATTATTACAGATAATGATAGATTCCAACTAAAGCAAAAATTAATCATTTTGTGTCAAAGACGTTATCTGCGAACTAGAGATATCGTCACCGTTCCTACCATTAGAATCCGCCTTACTCAATATAACATGTGAAACTTTCCTGTGGTTTGATACTGGTAGAGCTGGCCAGCAAATGAAAGTACATATATACGGAATTGAATCTTAACTAGCGTTTCGGCAACTTTCAAAGTACAAATGATCATTGTTATTTATTACTTTGCACTTTGAAAAAATGCCACCTAGGTGACCGAGTCGTTAGTAAACCTTAAATCCAAGATATGCGGTTCAATTTGACAGCTAGCAAAATGTGGGCGTTTATAATTATATTCAACTCCATTTGACATCAAAGAACTGACGTCGCGTCATTTGATTTGCTTCATTGATTGAGATTGAGATATACCTGTATCTAAGTGGACAGGAATATCTATTCCACAACAATTATAGATAATGTTTTATGACATTGAACTCTCGAAATGCTCGATTTCTAAGGTTCTGGTCCGTCATTACCATTCAAACCATACCTGGTGAAACTCCAACCATGAATAGAGTAGGTACCTATTTCTGCCTGCATCAACATCCTTCTGATATTAATGCACCTTGCTTCAATTTTACATACTACAGATCTTAGTTTAAACTACATAAGGTCTATATAAAGTTTCACTTTCTGGCGGTTTTCTTAATTCCTGGGGGTTCTCTAAAGGTGCGGGATTAGGAGGATTGTCAAGTTGCGGCTTCACATCGTTCGATTGTGGCGACACTGACGATGTACTGGAAGACGGCTGAGGTTTTGATTCAGCTTCCTTTGAAGAGGTTTTTGCATCTTGATGTGCTTTTTTGCTACGTTTCCACTTCATTCTCCTGTTTTGGAACCATATTTTTACCTGAAAAGATGTTTGATGTTAGTCGATTTAAATAACTACAGTCTATATTTTCAATAGGTCGTTAACCACATTGAGTAACATACCAAACATGATACTTTCGTCCGACCAAAAAGACAGAAAACCATGTACAGACATCTACTCTACAGCCAGAATCGTCAGCCATCTAGCGGTTACGGTGAGTGATAGGCCTTGAGTTATCTTATTTCGATTGATTAACATATTCTCCACATGTGGGAATACGTTAGCCGGCTTTAATTGTTTTCATTGCATACACTAAGGTAATATACAAAAATGGAATAACAATAACGTAAGATTATGATAAAATTAAAAAAAAAAACAAATACCAACCTATAAGATCTCAGACTTTTTTATAAAGCTACCTTTTCCATGTAGTTCACTTTTAAGAGTAAAAAACGCTTTTGACAGGAATTTTTGGGAAAGCTGCAAGCAAGTAGTTTAAATTAGCTACTGCAGAATCGTATCTCATTGTCTTAATTTTATATCATGGTCTCAGGTGTATTTACCTTTGGGATCTGAAAATGTAATACGACTAGAGTGTAAAGCATCTAATAATGAATTTTTTTTTAATACATCTAACATAAAACTACTTTATGAATTCTTGTCTAAATGATAATCTGATATATATGTCTTGAAGCCAGTGCATCTTAGTAGAATGAAGTTATACTCTGAATATAAAATGTTTTTGAAAAGTTATATTTCCAGTTTAGGTCAATAAATGAGCTGGTATAAAGTTTGAGGAGATATGAATTGAAAGAAAGGTTAGCTCTCCAAAGAGAATATATCTAATCACATCCTAAGTCTAATGCACTCATTTTATCCACAATACTGTTGCTATCATTAGATTATGTGACAATATATTAATTCTATAATTAAATTTATTCAAATAAAAAATCATGACAATACCTGACGCCACATTTTATCAGTGAGATTAAGTAAGAAAATAATCCGGGTATTAAAAAACGATTTATTATCAATAAACGAAATCAATCATTCCTTTTATCTGCAAGATAAACGCAATCCTTACAACACCTATAATGATCAAAAATATTCCGTACAAAAGGTACAGTGTTTTCCAGACACGAATGTATGAAGAGAAATAATAGCAATAGTTAAATGTCATGAACTTCATTTTCCCCTATCTTCCTCCCCTTATTCTGAGGACACATCCTTTATTTTGTTACTCTCAATAGTTGAAAGTTGACAAAAAAGCTGTCAAAAATCTTTCTCAATAACCCTGCATAGACGTCAACTTCAAGGTCTCCTTAATCCGACGCGTTCTTAAAAAAATTCTAATTAATTTGGTTTATTATCCCTGTAAAGAATACAGTCCGTATCAAGCATCAACTTTTTAAATTGTCAGAATAAATGAGGTATCCTCGGAATAAGGTAGACTCAACTGGAGGTACTACTATGCATTTAACCCTAAAACAGAGCCAGACTTACTGAATTTACTGTTTTATTGTAATTCCAAATACTGTTTCATTATGATGTCTTTACAAATTATCGAATACCTACGTATTTGTATACGCTTTACATTGTTTGGGCTCTTACTGGAAGTACAGTTTCTTATGTTATATGAGAATATATCCATTTTTATTATATTTTACGTAATGATGTTTTATTAGAATCAACAATAAAGAGATGTAAAGTTTGTTCTTGTTTGTGCGAAATTATATAATCAAGACTCGTATTATCCGGGTATCAGCAGACTTGGGTCGGGAAGCCGCGGAGATTTGATAAATCACAGTCACATTTCATCTCAATCCTAAAATATTATACCCGTCTGTTTGTTTGGAGTTGTCCTTAACTGAGGGTCATAACTCTTAGGAGCAAGAAAACAGTTTTGATTTTATACCCTGTTCTGTGCAAGTATATGCTTTTTGTGTGTTTCCAAGGGTCCCTGGTTCAGTTTAGGTTTGAGCATGAAGAGTAGCTATTTTCGTCTATCATTATTAGAGACTTCAGGAATTTGTTTCATGTTCATGCATCAATAAGTAGGCAAAACAAATAGACATAAAACTACAATCTGTACCTCAGAACCAGACTAGGTTAAGTCCAAATAAGTAGTTTTGAGATAATTGTATTTGAAATATTTTTCTTGCATTGTATTGAATATGACTTGATATGTGTTAAATAGTCGTAAATTCCTTATTATTACAGATAGATGGACTCTCCATGTAGCAAATGAAAATTCACAATATTATCATAAGCTTAACATATTAAACTCATTTTTGACAAAAATGGACTTGACCTAGTCGGGCTCTGAGGTACAGACATGTTTCTCTGGCCAAATTGATCTACATACATTTAAATTACTGTTCTCTGATACTTCGGCCCCTTTTATTTGCCTCGCCTACTGACGAGATCATTGTAATATTTTTCCGAAAATGAGATATGTTTTTGGGTGTTATATTTAGGACACGAACATCACGAAACACCATTTCACTCATTTCCGTCGGTTGGTCTGTTTGTCGGTCTGTCCGCTGATCTTATAATCGCCTATACATTGAGAAGAACCACTCTATTTTCGATGGAATTTTTACACAATGAAAATCGGACCAGTGACGGCAGAGAAGAAAGCCTAAAACGAAAAACATAAACACCGCTCAAACTTCGTTTTTGATGCCTCATAATTTTAGAGGTAAAAAAAGCTTGGGGGTGGGGATTGTAGGGGGTGGGAAGGGTTAAGCTCAATTTTTTGAGATAGGCGCTCCCAACCTTAGTTATTCCACGCACCCATTAGACATATTTCACATATCATCATATCCTTTTGGCCGCGGCTGCTGCTCCCGGCGTCTTTTACTGTACCGAGATCGTGCGTAGTGACAGTATGACAGCAAATGCCAGAAATGCCTGGGGTATTTATTTCCACTCCCAAACGATATCCACCACCCTCCCCCCAAATCGACAAGTGAGCGTGAGGTTATCTGTTGTTTTAGATGTACCAGACGTGCCTCCTCCACTCATCGCTCCGAAAACGCAAAACGACTGGGAAAACGTAAAAACAGGTCTGCTGTGTAAAATATCAGACGATTTGATATTTGACTTTAAACAGGAATCATTAAATATATTAATAAATAAGTAATAAACCTGATAAGACTCAGTACTTCCGATACATCCATGTAGATATATTCGAAATTTCAGGTTCACGAAAAGTGTCATTGGAGAGTGAAACATTAGATATCCTTGATTTAAACAACAGCTCACTATAGTTTTATCGACTCCTTGAGATATAAAGGCTTTTTTGATAATCTCACTTCCATCAACTGTAGGTCTCCAACCAGGGGATGTATCGAGCTGAAAGGTGATGATAGCAGATTATGGCGGGGTGAGAAGGGAAGGTATATAGGCAGCAGCGGTGGCCGCAGTAGTAGACTCTTCGGTCTTCTGATCAGTCGCCGTGCGCTGTGCGAGTTCGAGTCCCGTCCCAGGAGAAATTTTTCTCTTGGCTATGGATGTTGTGATTGTCCGTAGGTGGTAGACGGTCTCTGACTGTCGAACGCGGAGGTACCACCCGGCGGATCTCGTAGGCGGAGCCAGAATGTGTGCATTTTGCATGCACACGTGTTCCCTCGTCAGAGTCCGTGTGGCGCCCCCCCCTTTCCCACGTATCCCCATATAGCCCCATGCTACCCAATGGGTGCTTAGGCCTTAGGCCTTCGTGGTGGTTGGAGTATAAAAAAAATCTCTAAAGCCTAAAATTATGAGGCAGTTATAAAAATTCGTTCTTTGTGCCGAAAATATATCAAAGTTCAATTGGAAAAGAGTTGTGGAGGCTCAGGTATTACCGGGCAGACGACAGATACACAGTGACAGTGTTTCTGGTGATGTGCATGTTATGTAATATACCAATAACTCGATTTTGAAATATTTCGCCTTTACAGTCGCCATATACGTAGGAAGTAATGCTCAAATGTCAGTGGTGTGTCAAGTTCAAAATAGCTGGAAAAAACGAGTCATATAGCATTAAAGAAATCCTTAGAATTGTTTCGATTAAACATGTGAATTTTTAAAGCTAGAAAGTAAGTAGATTTATGCACATACGACCTGTCAAAAAATGCTGTTGTTATTAAAAGTGTGACAAAAAGCTATTAGCTGACTAGCTAGCAAATACATTTTTACACTGAGAAGACGTATTTAATTAAACAGTTAAGAAATTTGAAAATATAGTAAGAGGGGCCTCCTGTTGGTGTAGACTTTGTAGTATTTGAAAATACCCCAGTTTATTTAAGGTGATGTCAGAAACAAAAGTGCAATTTTCGTACACATGATCAGGTGGCCTTATTTATTCAGTTTCAGGTATGCTTTCCATACATTATGAATTTAACACAAAGAATTGCATCTAGTGAATGGTGATTTATTACACCCTGATTCTGGACAAACAGACAAATAGTTGGTAGAATTTGATCCCATATATAATAAGTTCACAATCAATGAAAATGAAAAATATCGAATTTTGTCAGGATTATAAAATTTGGCAGCTTTAACTTTAAGATGATCTAAGAATCTAAATAAAATAATCGTTTATGAAAACTACCTAAACTGATTAAACAAATTTAATAAATATAATTGAATTGTTTTACCTGGACCAAATAAACTCATTTTAATAGTTGATTAATTTCAAATAAATTGGAGTAATCAAACCAAGTAAATGGTTTAATAGATTTGATTAAACGATTGCCTTTTGGTTTAATTGAACTAGTCTCATAGATTCAAGTCAACTGTTTTAGAAATCCGAGATTAATTGAACTAACTAAACTTGTTAGGAGTCACATAGTTAATTATTTTTTAGATTGACCTAATTACAATTTTAATTGAGCTAATTACATTTTTCTCTCAGTGCACTATACATACATACTTACTTGAGTTTCTGTCAACATCAGATGTGATGCCACTTCATATCGCTTTGGCCGGGACAGGTATTTATTTTGTCTAAACTGTTTCTCTAACTCTAGGAGCTGTTGTGATGTAAACGCTGTCCTGGGTCGCCTTGTTTTACCCAGAAGCGCATGGCCCGGTCCGCATCCTGAAAACAAAGTACACCTCTCTACTTAACAAGACTTTAGAATCATTTAAAAAATAAGGTGATCAGCATGTATGCTTTGCGGCGTTGCTTAGGAAGTCCAGATTCAACCTCCTTGACGCCATTGTTTTCATTATGATTGAACTTGGCATCATGAATATTTGAAATAAGATGAAAAAATCATTTGACATTTGCTACTTCCTCCAGGCTCTTACAAAGATACAAAGTGAGCTGTAACAGTGTTCATTGATATTTGTTAGGTAATGCATGAATATTCACCAAGATCCAATATATATTAATCCGGATGACTATGAACATTCATACCATAACCACATTTCTTTAACCACATTAAGCGGCCATATTACCCAAATTATATCAATGGCCAAATTCAATTTATCTAGAATCCGAAACCAAAGAGCGTAAAATTATCCTGATATGTCATCGAGGTTTCTACTCCATAAAGCATCATAGGCGTGCATAAAAATGTATGAGTTTTTATGCTTTGAGGATTGGGAAAATGATATATCTATCCAACATTTCTTTTATTTCTTTATATTTAATGACCACCTCCGAAGTATTCTTCTTCATCGCTATAATCAATTGCATAATGATTTATTGTTTCATTTATTTCGTACCTTTTTACTTGTACGATATAGGCGTCAAGCACAAGAAATTGAAAATTACCAGATTTGTTTGCTATGACAGCACAAACTGGTTATGTCAGATGTTGGTAGATCGTGTCCCAAGTACGTCTTTTCATATATCGCAACTGTTATTGAAAATATAGTAAATTGGTTGATTTCATAACACTAGTGCATTAAGACGTGTCCTATTATCAAGGGAATAAATGAACCAAAAACAATAAATAAACATCTCCAATCCCGCTCATGCCTAGCATTCTGCTTTTCCGCTGGGGGGTAAAATTAGGGTGTCCTTAAATGTATTAGGATATTAAATTATCATGACAATGGCGCAATCAGGGGTCTCTGGCACCAGCGATAAATACTCTACAAACAGGCGGCCCTTTTTGGCCACAGGTTTTATATCCAACAGATCAGCACCCGGGCTGCTACGATCTACAGAGGCGGACTGAATATTCGAATCAGTGCGGCTTGTTCACAATTTCAACTCCTTGTAACAAGAGGCCTTAAGGCAAGTATCAAAATCTTAAGGTAGCGAGCAGAATCAGAAATATTCAGAACTATCTTTTTACACCGAAGCAGCCGCGCAAGCAGAAGCCTAAAGGTCAGGGCACCGTGAATGCTGTGGTGAGCTTAAAATAACTTTGTTGATCTGATTTTTGAACTGCCTAGAGTTAGTAGAACTGGGAAAAGCCTCCTTTTGTAGATTGTTCCACAATCTCGATACCATAGGGACAAAGAAGCGGTCGTATTGGCCAATTCTAGATGTACAAACCTTAACCGGTTAGGATGAGAGGCCGAAGTCAGGCGAGTATGTCTGACAGGCACATCACGTGGCGCATCCTGGATGGGCCAACTCCACATTTGTGTGAAGTATGCTACTGAAAATATATAAATCTGGGTTTCTGTTTGCGAATAATGAGGAAATATTCTTAATCCTAAGGCTACATAGTTCTGTTACATCCTCGCACGGAACCAATTCCACCAAGAATTCCATAGACTTTTTAATCTTCTTCTCTATCTCTATCTCTATCTATTTTAGCTGTTGAGAATACAACTTTATCTGATATAAATATTCCGAAGCATCAAGGAATGGATGTTTCTAAGACAGAAGCTCTACACCATTGGGTGGCGCTTCACAAAAAAAAGTAAAATCGCTTATACCTATACTTGTGTCGATCATAGCAGAATCTCCAGTAGTATATGTCTGAGATACCTCATTTCAAGCCAAATATGTGGGGCAGGGACATTACTACAGGTTTATTTCCAAACAATAACTCATGGCGATCAATTTATTCATTACAGCGGTTATTGCGGCATCATTTTCTAAAGCTAAAGCAAATGCAGTCGGTTATACTTTGTATTATTCTAAGAAAATTTTTCTTTTGATATATTATCAAAAAAAGGTATTTGTGCAAGGTCAAAAATTCCAAACAATAATAGTTAGGCTGTTCTCAAAAATACCAGAAGTAAGTTGTATACTGTGTCTACAGGCTACCTAAAATTAATCTAAAATGAGCTTGAGTTTACGTTAGCAAGCAGCAAACTTCGAAGAGGAGAAATGCAACTCAATAGAAAAGGACCCTACCTAGATTCGTGGTTTCCACCTGTAGCCAAAAATATAGTCTACTTATAAATTAAAGAGCTTTAGGTTTTTCCACCCCCATAAACTGCAAGATCTTCCATTGAGTTCGGTTCTGCCCTGTGCTGAAGAGAGCAATATGCCGTGACAAATTGTAGACGGCCATGAATAATTAGGCAAACAGTCCACATGGGGCGCTGTAATCGGTAGATTCTAATTATGATTAGCTGATGGAGCTAATATTCAATTTGCATAAATTGGACATACGTCCCGCATCCATTATGGATTACTAACGGCCAATAACATGCTGCAATTATCTCTATAACTCCACACCTATTTTCAAAGTTTATTGGTGATGATATGTGGCCAAAACGGTTTACTGGATACGCAGAAAAGATACTCGTAGTGTGGTTTGGAAGTTTTGATGAATAACGATCATGTGTACTGTAGCTAAGAAAATCTGACATTTCACCAGTGAAGTAACGTTTTGGGTGTAAGAACCCTAGAAGTTTTGAAAGTCTCTTATGAAGCGTTGAAGAAATAATCTAGTATAGTCGAAATCACGAAAGTTGACGATTACGTCATCATTTTAGTCTCTCAAACAGAATTTTATAGTCTAAACAAACTGTATTGCTAATTTGCATGTATCCGACAAAGATAGACGATGTTTTCATGTTGCATGATCGATCATATTTTAAGAAATAGTTAGGTTAGGTTAAAGCAGGTTATGTTGTTTTCGAATAATACTTTGGTCTTTGGTGTTCCTGTCTTAAGACATTATACTCATAACTGTTTTTTTCAAAACCAAAACTCCCCACTAAAATTATTATTAAGACATCACTAAAAATCATGAAACAAAACGAAAATAAAAATAATCAGTGAAATAACCTAACTTCGCAAAATCATAATATTCATTTGTTGTCATTATGTTTCTGACTCGTGATTTTATCATCGACGTACGTCCATTGATTCCTCAGTACAATTTATGGTATGACGTAATAGTCATCTTTCATGATTTTGACTATATCTATGACGATCCCCAAAAAACTTTGACTTAAGAATAGAATTAGATTTCAGTCTAATGTTTTGTCTCTAGCCCTCCATGACTAAGTTTGTTTTTTTATACACTCCATATTGTCTAGTCTGATTCCAGCTATATATAATATGTCATATGTCTGTGTTGCAAAATTATGAATAGTTAAAAGAAATCTAAAATTTCCGAGTAGGCATTAAAAATTACATATTAGACAAAGTCCGTTCATTAAAATGTTCAGACAGGTATTTCTACAGTATTTGCGTATAAATGAACAAAGCTTATAATCAGTTTCAACGATGTAGTCAACATTTTACGAGTTGAGAATGTGAAGCGTCACAAGCCTGAATAAGCAAGCTCTCATCAGACCTCGAATACAGGACAAAATAATACTAAACTTTTTATTATTAAAGGATAATTATGAAAACAAAATACGGCAAATCATGAAACTGCTGTTTTTTTTAAATATCTGATTGTTCCTTATATAAACATATTGTTAGACTTACTGCTTTGAGAAATACAAAAGAAAGCCAATGCAATGACATCCTCCAAAGAATATCTATAATTAGAATCACAACTGATACTTTTACAAAAGTATGCTGTTTGCATTCTGGCTGACGATGCCTGTGTCATACTTATATACAGAGTGCACCAGAAGTCGACGTCAAGCCGGGAACTCGATATAGGCCAAGTCATGATAGTTATCAGAAAAAAATAAAAAATCTAAGTCGTATACTTTTCAAATGACAGGCTTTAAAAGAATACCGAAAAAAATGTAAAAATCCACACATCTTCATCTTTTAGTTCATATTACTACACATTCCCATTTTTTGTTAGACGGAGTGACGGAGAGTGACATTTTACGTAGTCAGAGCAAGACAGATAGTAAAGCTACTTTTATTGCCACCATGTCTGTGTACATCGTACAGAAATACTCGTACGCCAACATGCACGTCATTCATGGGGAATGTAGATGCAACGCTAGTGCTGCAGCTAGGCGTTGTCGTGAGAGGTACCCAAATGGTGCTTGTCATCCCGATCACCGAGTTTTTATGAATGTGTGCACCGTTTACTCTCAGAGAGAAGATTCCAAAATCTAGGATATGGTGAAGGAATAATTTCCTTTCCTTACGAGTACTACATGCGTTCGAAGAAGACCCGATTCCTTCAGTACGTCAATATACGTAGAAGCAAGCAGGGTAGTGCCTAAAAGTACAGGTCACCGAATCTTGCGAAAGAACGAGATCCACCCGTACCAAAATTATAGTACAATCTCTACAATCCCGGAATTAACTTCCAAGACTTGAATTTTGTCAAATAATCTTAAACACCGGGGAAATCCTGGATTTTTAAAGAAATTTTATGGACTGTTCAGTCGTCATTTAGAAAAATGGTTACCTAAATCTACACAACTTACACGAGTGGCATGTAGAACACCGACATTTCATGAGACAAGATAGATCACAGTATGGTACAGTGGCGGCTCGTGACAAAATAAAACAGGTGTTCTGCAAATCCGAACTTACCTATTTTTTATATGTCAGTTCGATCCTGCGCTGCTTCTTGGCAGCAAATTTGTCGATCACCTTCCCGTTGAAATTTTCCATGGACGAAATAAATTCCTTTTCAATGGACAGCATCGATAATGCTGTAAGGTGATCCTGGGTCATAGTATTACGAAGAAAAGTCTTGATCCCTTTAAATATTGAGAAATTTCGCTCAGCCTCTGATGTTGACATAGGAGTTG